TTTAAACTAATTTATTTTAAAGAATAATTTTTAAACATTTATTAAATCTTACTGTTATTTTTTACAGCAAAGATATACCAACTCAGGTGTTACTATGTTGTATGCGTACATGATGATACAAGCAATAGGGGGCTATTATTAATAAATTTTGGAAGTAGTACAGAAAATTTGCCGGGAATCAGAAATTAGAGGCAAATTTGCCCCGAATACGGATTAAGGGATACCTGATCAGTGCGATATTTCAAAACTGAACGTAATGGATTTGGTATAACAAATATATAATGCTATACAGTTACATACAACAATCCAATTAGATTCAGAGGTGATATAGTAAGTACAATAGGGGTGCATGTGAGATATTCGATTTACTGATGATTGAAAGCGAGATTTACTAAAAAAATAATACAATTTTATCTCATAAAAAAACAAACATTGCAATTTCTAAACAAAATCTGAACTGTCCATGATTTATCATCGTTAATTAAAAATATTATAGTTTTAAATATTGCATTCAACAAACAAAAAACTGATTGCTTGATTTAATTGTCACGGATGATCGTAAATCAAACCTTATTTGAAAATTCTTAGGGTAGGATTTAGGTTAGGGTTCATAATAAAAGAGTATAGATGGGTTTTAGTAGGGTTTATATTAAGCCGGAATTACTCATAAATTACTAATAAAATCGCAGCCGTTCATTAAGTGAAAATTGTTACTGGGCCAACTTTACCAAATGCGGGCTTATTTTTTAAAAATTTCTATTTTGTAATGAAAAAAATTAATTCCGGCCGGAAATTAGTAAACAATTATGTAATGCGGGCCAAAATTTTGAAGATCCTCGGTCGTTAGCCAATCAAAATCGAGGATCTGCCACGTATTTTTTTGCGGCACATACTGCGCCAAAAACATAGTATTTTTTTTAAAACGCTAAACTTTTTACAAACAAATTTTTTTTAAAAAAAATGACCGATAGATTTATAATAAACTAAGCACTACAGAGTTATCGGTTAATTTTTTTAGCTTCTCTACCGATTTGAAGATTGGAGTTTTTTTTTTGAACAGATATAACTTTCGGTTCTACCCTAAAATCCCGAAAGACAGATTCTCGAAAAAGACATAATACTGTCTAAATTGGCCAGCATTATAACTAATGCTGGCTAACTTTGTTGGTATTATGTCTTTTTCGGGAATCTGTCTTTCAGGATTTCAGGGTGGAACCATAACTTTCTACAGAAGAAAGGTTTTTTAAAAAATTGACCGATAACTTTGTAGAGCTCACCTCTGTGTATACTGTAAAGCTATCGTTAGTTTTTTTGAAAAAATTTGTCTTTAAAAAGGTTTAGCATTTTAAAAATGCTATGCTTTTGGCGCAGTATGTACTAGAATATCGAAATACATTAATTTTATTAGTCATGTGCTGTCACGCGAAAATTGAAACATTTCACGTGATTGTCGGGTATAAGCTCCCGGCACCATACGTGCGTACATTATTATGCCACTTTGCAATCGGTAAACCACATTATTTTATGCAGTGCACTGAATTCTTTTAGCGAAATGTTAATAAAGATTATTTACCGAACTTTTTTTTAACAAAAAAAAAATACTTTACAGATCTATATATTTCAATATTTTGTTTAATGAAGGTTTTTAAAAAGCTAAAGAACTTAATAATTTATTGAATAAAATTTTTTTTATATATACAGTCGACTTTATACAGTACAACGAATCTCTACAATGAACTTTTTTTTTCTTTCATGCTATCAGCTCGTTATAAAAAGGATTGGCTATAATTTATTTACGATAATTAAAGTAATGTAAAAAGACTACTTAAAGTACTAAGAAAATTTTTCCTTGCGAAATACAATTTGGAAAATTTATTTAAAAAGCTTTTAGCGGATTAGCTAAATCTCCCAGAAAACGACTTGTTTTAATTGTAAATTTAAGGTGAACCGTATAATATAAATTCAAGCTTTGTTGCGTAATTAGTGTATTAGGATAAGTTTATAAATTTATAATGTTAAATTTGAAGTAGAATCAGTAAATAAAAGAAAATAATCCTTTTTGATATTCTTTTCTTTAATATTATGTGCAAATAATGATATAAATAATAACAACTAAAGGTGCAGTGCAAAGAAAAGTTGACTTTATAACAGATCATTATTATTGTCGATGTTGGTATTAGGGCTCTGCAACTCAGGCTCATGCTTGTGCCCAACAAAAGATAATGGACACAGGACAAAAACTTGGCATAGACACAGGCACAGAAATTTGGTATTATTATTTAGTTGTTGTGGCCTGGCATTTTGTAATATGCTTTTGCTAACGCTTGGCACTTTGTGCCCATACCTTTAATGAGCCAGGTACTTTATGCCAATGCCCTTAATAGTGCCTGGCACTTTTGTGCTTATATGCACAGGCATGAGCACAAGACACTAGTGTCCGGCTTAGTACCAATGTGCCAGGCAAGGCAAGGCATTTGCAGGCCCCTAGTTGGTATTAACGAAATCGGAATTTGTTCGACTAAGTGGTTATCGGGATTATCATATCCTGTGCACGACCTTGTACACATTTACAATATGCCACTAAATCACATTTCTGTGTCCCTGGGGCGCATTATTTTGAAACGCACATGGATGTTATTTTTGAGTACATATGCAATTTTTTTAAAAAATAGAAATCGTCATGTGTTATTACGCGTAAAAAACATTTAACTACATTTCAAAAAGTTTTTTAAATTAAGGAAATTGAAAAATATAATTTAAGTATAAGTTAGTGGTACTTATGTTAATAAATAAAAATATAAAAAAGTAATGCATTTTTGTTATTTTCGACTGATGAGCTATTTTCATAAACAAATGCTGCCAAGAGAAAAATGAGACATTGGGTTTTAATTTTATTGCCGGATTTGGTTCATTTAAAACTTAATAGTAACATATATGATAAGTAATCACATATCATATGTACCCATTGATCAGATATTTCACGAGCTGAATCTGATAATGAAATCCCAAATTTTTGTTTTCTCCTGGCATGTTTAAATGATTTTATACATTTCGGATTCATAAGTTTAATTTTTATTATTTCAATCTTTTTTATCTCAATAAGAATGTTAACTTTATATATATGTATATTTTCCTTTTTTATTTTACTTCCAATTGACTACCATATTATTTTGTTCATTCATCATTTATCTACATAGCGCAAATGAAAGAGAGCGTTGAAATAAGTAAGAAATTGAGTAATTGGTAAGTAAATAGATTGTGTATCGATTGATGGCTTTGAAAAGACAATTTCTAAAAAAAGGAGATCGTGTGTACGTGTTTATGTGTAAGATCTCCAAAACAGGTATTTTAATTTACATGTAGTGCGTATGTACATACATATCGGTATGATTGCTTGGCATTATTTAAATATATACTTGGCATTATGTAAATATTTTTACAACCTAACTCGGATAAATTGATCATTTGTCTCTTCGCTATGGAATTTTTTTGGATGTACGGAATTATAATATATTTTAACAATAGTCGTACGTACTCTACAACTAGTTTACTAACGTTGTAATTTGTTGATGATTTGAATATCCTATTTCGTAAATTAAAAATTTTGTACGTATGGAAATACTAACCATACTTGCGCACCTTATTATTCTAATTGTCTTTACCACACTTTATCAAGAGCTCGCATTTTTGTAATCCGAACAACCTTAAGATCAATCTTTTATAATTTTCGTTGATTTCTATGTATATTACGTTCTTATTGTTATTTTTTTTTTTACTGAATCGCTGATAAATGATGCAATATTTAACATGTTGAATAGTAAATTAAAAAAAAAAGGTACAACAGTAACGTAGTTTATTCTTCGCTAGCATAAAAAAAAAAATTTAATACTATTATTAATGTATAACGCAGTGTAGAATAGTATTGAATAAGTGAGATTACTAATAAAAAAAAATTTTCTAAGCAAAGTTCTTTTACATAATCTAAATAAAATTCATTTGTATGGTCATATAATCTGCGTTGAATTTTGCTTTGCTTTATGTTATTATTATAAATTAAGAATTTTGATTGAACTATTTACAGTATAAGTCACCATTGAATTAGCAATTTACAACAGAATTTAGCTGCTAGAACAACATAATCATGAACAATCTAATCTTTGGTATTAAAATAGGCTAAAATTAACCGGGAAAATAATTTTAAAAGTAACTCTACTAAAGCAAAATTAGTTATAGTGATCGTCTCTGATTAAGCATTTATGTTATAGAGAATTTTGATTTAAAAAATTTTATTTTATATTAATTTATATATAATAAGGTTCTAGAGACAAATAATCAAAAAAAGTTTGACAATGTTATTAAATACAGTATATATAAATTTTATTCATCAAATCACACATTGAAATAAGAATTTTAGCAATACTCATATTTTAATATGTTATATTCGAGGTAAGACCAAAAATGAAATAAAAATTACATGCATAATATAATATACATAATAACTATACATAATAAAAGTTTATGTTGTTTGTAAAAGTAATTAGGATGATTATAGTCAGATGAACTGTGATTCAAACTTTTTGATATAGGCAGTAGTTTACGTCAGAAATTTTGTGTGTAAATATACGACTCGATTCAGTTAAGAAACTAAATGATCATTCGTATCTGACTGGGGTTTGAACCATGTCATATTGAGGTGTCCCGACCTGGTAGACATTAACAACCGTAGTTGGTTGCTGCTGTTGTTGATTTTCTTGCCGTTTATTTAGTAATTGTTTGATGCGGAGCTGAACTGCATAGAATTTTAAAGTTAAATACAGATAAGGCTAATTTTAAACATGAAAAATTAGTAAATTACATCAAAATCAAAGTGAAACAAAGAAGAATTTTAAATTACTAACACTAGGTAAAATTCCTAGGGCGAAAAGTGCTACCCATGCACCGATACTAGCACCACCATCATATACACTACAAGCAAAATTGCCTTCGTCATTTATTAACGTTGACGACACATATGGGGAGCTATTAGAAAGATTGTTAAAATAATTTTGACATTCGGATAAAGATTTTGCAGCCCCGGCTTCGTATATTCCGATCCAGATTGCATTTACCGCTATAAGATAAATCTTCACGGCTAAATAAATTTTCACAAACGCATCTACAAAGTTCAACTGCTCTTTTGCAAGAGCATATATTCCGAAGAACATTAGAAACGACAATAGTATTAAAGTGCCTCCAAGTATCCTTAAACCAACGTTATATGCGTATAAGGCGTTTAAATTCACTGTTTGAAACGTAGGGATGATAAAGTTAAATAAAGCATTGTATTAAATTGAGAGTAAACTATACTCACGGGTAAAGTAATAATATGGAGTGGCTGACATGAAACATCCACAAGAAAAGATCCAGATAAACGAATACACAGTTCCGATAATGGAGCCGGTCCTCAAGTTGGCACAACCGCAACTTTTTGTTCACGAATAAGACAAAATCATTAGATCTATAATTAATATAAAATAATTTTGTTACAAAATTTAAAATTTCTACGTACAGAAAGTGTTCGAAATGCCACCATGGTTTTGTAGTTTTTTCGACATCCATTTTAGTAAAAGGTATGAACTGTGAGAAATTCAGTTGATATTTTTATCTGATATTTATACCAATTTCAAATAATACGAAAAAATTTTAATATTATAATTTTTAAATAAGAAATGATTGGTGAAATTCCTAGATTATACACTCTCTGTTTAAAGTAATTTCTTTAATCAATCTTTGTTTTTATTTACAACACTTTGCGGCAGAAAGTTTATTGAAAGAATTTAAAATGAGATTCCAAATCTTTCTGTTAATTACGCTGTATTATAATTGATGACAAATACTACAGTATAATATTAATAGTAGAAATATTATATTCACTTGAGTATGCGCAACCATAGTTGATGCTTAACATAAATTGTTGCCAAAAACTCCTAATTTAGAAATTTTTTCAATGGCAATGCGTTATTACGTACTATAGATCAATTACATATTAAAATAAAAATTTGAACCTTGTATATTTAAAAAAATTAAAAATTTGCTTTATGGAGCTCTGCATTATAAGACTCCGCATCGAGTTTTTCAATGGCCTGATTTTTATTTGTTTTTTGTTTTTCTTTTTGATCCTTACCTTCCTTTGTGATTATTACTCCGATATTTCTCCGTGTTTAAATGAATGTCGTTATAATCTTGAAAAATTTCACTCATTTTCAGATGCCCCTCTTTTTTTAATGATTATAAGAGAACCATTAGTACGTAGATGTGAAATCTCGCGTTTAGTTGTTTTTAATTCGTAAAAACGGATTCCACCCTCATGAATTATCATAGCTCAGGATTTACCTTGTATTATAAAAGTTATACTGACAGTGTAACAGTTATTTGGGCTTTGATTGAAACTACAAAAATGTAGTTATTGTATGGATACCTGGGGCGTAACTACTTACACGCGGGTCGTCATGAGTTGTTTTGATGCTTCTGTGACGATTAAACATTTACTGTTACCTCTTATTGCTTGTGCCATTCATTGTTTATACAGTATTTGTATTTGGGTAACACCCATTAAGTGTTATCGTATAGATCTATACTAGTCCCATTTTAGTAATTGATGGTAATTTCACCAACTTCTCAATTAAGCGACGCGTCATGTTGTTGTGAATAAATATTTGGTCGCGTAATCACTGAGATAATAAATGGCATGGGATACTTATTGAATGATAAAGCTATATTGGTAGGAAATAATTGTTATGGCTGGTACACGTCTTACTGTAAGATTGTACCTTAGCATAATTTTCGCAAGTATCCCTAAGAGGAAATTTATTCTACGTGTTCTTTACTGCTTATGTAAGATCACTTAAAGCCAATTAACTTCTCCAACTCAAAATTTTCCACCTTTTTTTTAACATTATTCAACTTTTTTAACGTTAGCCGAAATTCTATCGGAACTATGTAAACCAGTTGGCACGTATTATGGTTTAGAATTAATTTTTTTATTAATGCATGAGTGTGTTAAATGAAACCAAGTTTTACATTTGATCATTAAGTAACGAAAATAAAATCTGTCGCTATCAATTTATTTAACTACATACGTTTTTCGATTCGAGATTCTTAAAACAAGAGAACTTCTTTTAATAAATTATTCATTTTTATAAATTTATATCCTGATATTTAAACACTTTTAACCAATACGTAAAAGAGTTAATACACAATATATAGTTATCATTTAACTAAATAATTATAATAAATATCAACAAATAAACTGATTTGTTGAATAATAAATGTAGTTGATAAAACTTAGTATAATTGATAAATTTGCTTCTGTAACTGCTATGATATAACTAAAGTTGTTAGATAATAATTATGTGTTAAACATATATATTATAATATTTTGTAATTCTGTTAAGTCATTCACCAGGAAAAAGCCATCGACACTGACTGCAAAGTTTATATTTGACTATCATAATACATGACTGACTATACAAAATACTAACCCTGCAAAAATCGCTATCACTATGTTATATATACTGATTACAATTATATTCTCTGGTTCACATATTGATCTCAAAACAAACTCTACATACCTAATCAAAATATTACCTCTCCTAGTAGACACCTCACCTTATGCGATCTGTAAAAATGATAACACTAGTTACTTAATTGCTACTAGGACAGTTATTCATGCTAAATTCATCTTAATTACCACTAGCTATACTAGTATTACTACAACATTACACTCCAACGACTCTATCTTGCATACAAAAATTGACCTATCACAACTTATCTATAATACCTATCTTCTAACACAGATCGAATGAAGCCATATTGGGAACTGCATAACCAGATAAAAACTGAAAACATATCAGGTTTCGATATGTCTTCAGTTTTAATTTTTAATATCATAGTCCTATCGGGTAACCAGTATTTTTGTAAATATTTTGCAGATGTGTTTAATCAGTATGATGAACTGGTTTTAGAGAGATTATCAGATTGGTATCTTTTTCTGAGTATAGATCATACCAAGCCTTGATATCATGATTTGGGTATCATTTATAATGTAATACATGTGTTAAAGATTTTTCTAGTATTACAATTGCTATATAGAATAGTTTTTTTAGCATTTCGTTGGATATGGTAAAGAGGCCAGTTGCTTTATTATTAGGTGTTTCAGTGATTGTTTTTTTGATCTCTTGGGTTTCTATTTTTTCTAACAAAGGTAAGTAAGTTGCTTGGGGAGTGGGTTATAGAAGGATATTCATCTGATTGGCTAATGTAAATCAATTGCCCGAGTGATTTATTTATACACTTTAAAGTACTTTTTGGGAACACAATGTTTCACTAATAAAAAATCACTGCTAAAGCTATTTTTTGCTTTAACAGAACATCTATATTCACTATGTAAAAATAATTAATAATAATCAGTATCCTCATGGACTTTACTTAAAAGTGAATTTTCCTATTTATTTTTTTATTTTTATTTTTTTAATGAATTTGGCAGTCCTGCCTTTACTTTATTAGACTTTGTAATAATTTTCTAAACTATTAAAATTTTCTAAAGAGTTAATCTCTTTGGTACCTAAATTACAAGTGGAGATTTACTTGGTTGCTCAATGAGTACCTATATGTGACCTGCTATAGTAATATTTGCCTCTGTATTATCTTATCCTGCATTTGGCTTCAACAATACGTCAATAGCTAGTTATTACCACCTGTCAAAACTACATATTCATTTTTCACCAATCTGTATGTTTCCCTTCTCTGATCCAACCTAACAATTCTTTTTTAGTTATCTTATATACTATTTCAAATCTTGAATCCTCTTCTCTTTTCTTTCTTAATGTATTAGTATGTTTGTCTGGAGGAGTTCTTTTATTCAGGGATTTGTCTTCTTTTTCATTCTTCTTTTTTCCTTTTCTTTTCGCTTTCTCATGAAATTTCCTCTTCTCTTTAGCTATGATACTATTTTCTTTTTTCTATTCTTGTATGAGTTTATATCTTGCGACCCATATTCTTTCATAAACTTCATTTATTCAGTTCTTCTATAGTACTGTTATAAAGCTCTTTGTTTGGTTGTTGGAGCTAAACATGGGTCTAAGCTCTTTGAAGTCTTCTTTTGTAATAAGGCCTCTAATCCATCTTTCTCTTCTACATAACTCCTCCACTTGATTTCTCTTTTCTAACATTGTTAATATACTTTCTATTTTTTCCTCTAGATCTTGCATATCTTTTATTTCTACAAGAGTTGCCTTTACTACTTGTTCTTCTATATTGCAGAGCAAATTTAAAGATGTTTTACAGCTTACAAGATATTCTATGTTCTCTTTCTTTTTCTTACATATAATACAAATATTTGTCTTATATGTTTTGGGGTTTTTTTGATTAAGCTTTGTTAGAACTGGAAGCAAATTGTTTATACACTTTATCCCAAAAAGCTGTACTGTGTTAGACTTGAAAGTGTAGTTTCACTGTTTTGTTTCACCCTTTAATAGCACATGAAGGATGTCCCAAAATTGAGAATTCATTCTTTCCTAGTGGGTCTTGTTGTGTGCATTATGTACAAATGTCCATTCAGCTTTAATTAAAACCTTTTCTAACAGCTTGGTAAAGAAGCGAATTGGCTTTTCAACTATTTCCCTTCCTATGTGTATTTGTACTTAATATTCTTGAAGTCAAGTACTTTACTGAATTGACACCTTCTTTTGCTTTCAGGTCTGCAAGATCGTTGAATATATCACCTGAATGTCCTTTAATCTTTGTAAAAAGAATATTTAGCTCCTTTGTCTTTATCACTTCTACAATAGTTGCAACAAGACCAACATTCTTAACTTTGTGCCTTATCTTATTTGTTTCTAGATCTCTTTTGATTGCCAATATTGCTGCTTTGCTATCTATTCTAATTTCTACTTTTTTTTTGGTAGGCATAATTAGAAGCGCATATAGAATTGCTACCAATTCTGCTCTTGTCGAGGAAAACTATTTCTTTGTTGCACATGAAAATTGACATAACAAGTGTTCTGTCTCTGTGATCTGTACTATGCTACAACCCATTACTAGTTCTTTTTCTCTCTCTGAGGTACCAAGTGAGCTATCTGTATAAAAAAATAAACTATCTATTTCTCTATTCTGTTCTATACTTTCTAACATATTTTTTTTAATTATATCATTTTCAATAATTATA